CTTTTTAAGAAGTAAATCCGTCGCTATAATAATTTTTTAAATCCTTTTTCTAAAAAGGTAATGTTTTGTAAACCAGAACAAGCAATACATTATGGGTTTACGTAAAGAATGTATACATACAATACTAGTTCTGTACTAAATTTTGACACTTCTTTCATTTGCTTTTCTTTTTATTTAATATTATTACTTTCACTAGTTCCTTCTTTCAATACATTCAAATTTTTTCATTCTCTTCTTTTGAACTTTATGTCAACGCGCCAAAAATTTTCAATTTAATCGAGTCGAACAACAGGCGAATTGGGTATAATATCTGTCATAAAAAATTTTTTTGACTATTTCCGACGCACTCATCGTACTATTTATTGTAGAATTTTGACACAATTTTAAGCATCCATTGTTCATGTTGTAAAGGTCATATATTAAAAATATCAATAAAACATGTAAATAGTGTTGCTTCCAGCGCTCTGGACGTTCGTTACAATAAATTCAGGGGGAAAATCTAATCTTATATTCATCTTCTCCTTTTTCTAGGGAAATATTGACAAGAGGACATATTGACTCGAGAAAACATTGACAAAGGACAGGAAATTTGGAATTGAAAAATATATTGATTTGAACAACTAAATTCGGACAACAATGCTTATATTATTAAATTATATTGTAGATGACAACTCAGAGAAATTTTATGAAATATTATATTACACTAAAATTTTAAAGAATCCGAGTTGTAAATGTAATATAATATAAAAATAATAATTGACGTTGAGGCCCGATGCAATCAAACACGAAACAAAATAAAATGTAAGTCAACAATTAGAACACTTATTATTAATCTCATTCTACTGCAAAGCTCATATGAAATAACATATTCTGTCATTATAGATTCTTTATCGTGAACTTTATTCATAATAATAATATCAGTAAAAAATAATTTTACTTCTTCTTACTTCCCCTTTATCAATTTTCTTTACCTATTTTTCTTCGATTTCATGTTATTATGGAAAATTTCAAAAAGTAAACCCGAATAATTGACGATACCTAGCTTATTATAGCATCAAAAAAAATCTCGTGTTTAACGAAATGTTAAATATGCTCATGGATAACAATGATTTTGACCGCGAAAGATTATTGATTGTTAAGTAAGTAAAAAATGATTTTATACTTTATTTGTTGGGCAAAATTCTTTCAAAATCGAGTATCGTTCTGCAATGACTTCTAATTTGGTCATTGTTTGTCTTGCCTCTAACATTTTTAATATGTTTTACTGCCTTTCTCGAAATGTAATTCGAATATTTTTTTTTGAAGTTGACAATGGTCGAAAAAATAAATAAATAACATGCAAAATGTTTCTTGTATAACATCAACCAAAAATTTTGACAATGCGAATAGAACAATTTGGTTTGATTAAGAAAATGTATATGAAGAATTTTATGTGAGGGTTGAAAGTTTCTTTATATGTACAATAATATAGCTGATAATACTAAATTCTTGCAATTTATATTTTAGATTAAAAATATTCTATTAATATATATAAAATTAATAAATCAAATAATCTATTAATTATAATTTTATTTATAAATTATAAACATTTAAATCTAATAAATTAGCAAAGGTATTCCTTTAAAAAATTTTAATTAAAAAATTTTAAAAAAAATAGAATGTTATAAATAGTGCTTTAGCATTATTATTTTTATATTTTTATAATTATTTAATCTTTTATATATTTTTGTTACATATTCTGCAAAGATTTTAGTAAAATGGTAAACTTGTCAATAATAATATGAACCTTAACTTATTTTGGCTTTCTCTTAGAGTTTTGCTTGTATATCAGTTCTTCAAAATAAGTTATACACTGTTTTCATTAAAAAGTAAAAATATTCATAGCTTGAAATTTTAAAAGTATTGTTTATTTAAAAAGGTATGCCGCTTAAATTTATGATATGAAATTACAAATAAAATCAGTCAATCTACGAATTCGGCATTGAGTATAATCATTAATATTATAGCCTTCTAAAGAACACTATTCTAATGAAAGGGTGGCATCCATTCACGAAATTTCTGAGGTACGAATGGTAAGAATTTTCTCATATTTTTCTTGATTTCTTAGGAAGCACGTTCTTCCAGATCCATTTCGTCTATGAAATTATCGTGATTTGCTATATCATCATTGTCTACAACTTCATAGGATTTTAAATCTGTGATAACTGCCCCTTTTTTGAACAGAGGTATATGAGATTAATTTCATAAATCAGGGACCAGCAAAATGTTGAAGCTTGATGTGTCATTAAACTTGATGCTATTAACAACAAAAGTCAGTATTGAGAGATTGATCTTGAGAGAGAGCAATCCAGTAGAAGACGAAATCTTGTAGAAGTTTATAAGCATTATTACAGGTTTATTCGATTATTTCACATTTGCAGCGATTAATTTTCCGATGGCCTGGTTTTCATCGTTTTCTTTAACTTTCTATAATAAAGCAATATTATACAGTGAAGACCAGATGAATTGGAAGGACCTTGAAATAGTTACCTTCTTTAACTCAAAGAGTAACATTATAACATCCTGAACACAAAGTGCGATCAGTGGAAATGCCACTACACCTGTTGTATCTGAGCACCTCCGGAATTTCAGAACTAATTGTTAGCATGAACGTCTTTTGCCTTATATTCATCGAGACAATTTGATCTGAGGAAAGTATCCCTTATGTATTAGGGGTACTGTTTTGAATGACTTCTTTATTACCTTAGATCCACTCAAATGAAGGAGATTTATCACCAACCATTTGGAGGTCATCCATATAACTTGTTTTCACAATACATAAAGCAAACAAAGCTTTCTTCTTTTCTCAGTGTTTATTGATGATAAAATGACTGACTACTTTCATATTGATGCTTTAGGTTGATTAAGAGTTCTTTTTGCTCGTTCAAATGCTCATTTAAGCTCTCACATATTTTGTTTATCTCCGTCAAACTCACCGCTAATATAATCAACCAAAATACCAAATGACTTTAACACGTGATAAATACTGCATTTGCCTTTATTTTCGTCTTCCTCAATTGCAATAACTAGTAACGGTGTTTTAGCGGTATTTTAGAAACTCTTATCCACTATAACATCTGGTTCTAAATCAACATCCTCACCATATTTGTGTAGCATAAGATAACTTACATTATCATAGGCCAACCCATTTGACAGTTTTTTTTTGACCGCCTCCTTCAAGTCATTCACATTATCTACGTCAATTCTGTGAATTATAATTCTTTATGGATGTACATTGTCATATTTAACCCAAATGTTCAGAGGAGGCGAGGTGTTTATTTCAATTTATTCGCAGACAAATGAGCAGTTAGTATAGATAAAAGAGTGTAAAAAACGTGTTTTATATAAAAAGTGTAACTAAGAAAAATAAATCTTTTAATAATACTTAAAATATGCTATACCTTATTTTTTTTTAAAAAAGACAAAAAGAAAAAATATTTTCTTAAAGAAGCAGTTGAGAGGTTTATTAAATTTGTGACTGAGCCAACCAATGATTGGTGGTATAGACATTTCTGTGAAATCGAATTCACTTTTAACCTTTATATATTTGTATTTTTTAGATTTTCTTTATAGTTCATCAGATCAATTTGTGCGACAATTAGTTTCTATATATACAAGTACTGTATATCCTACATTTGCAAAAAAAAACTTAAAAAACTATTTTATTAGGCAAAAATTATAAATAGCTAAATAGCATGTCGTTTAATAATATTGTTACTATGGTTTATAGTCTCTCCGAAGAACCTAATAAATTAAGTGAGAATGAGGAGGCAAAATTATACATTTATCTTGTTAACAAGGATGATTCTGGATTAGCTGATGTTGAAAAATTACTTTATTTCTGCGAAACAAGTAATGATAAGCTTGTATACTTGAAAGGGTTATTAAAGAAACCTATTTCTGATTTGTTCCAATAATTATACTGTGCTGTCTTACATCCACTAATACCGAATATTAAATTTTATGCTTTCTGCTTCTTGCTGTCAAACCCGATCCAAAAACACTCTAGATCATCCAATTAACACAGGTAAATGTGTCGTAATCTATTTAAATTCTTAATAGTTGTTCTTGATTTGCTAACCTTTTCTTATAGTAGACACTTCTGAATTTGTATACGTATTTATCGAAAATTCAAATACATTTATGAAAGAGGCAGATGAACATCAGGTTCAGTTCGATTATGGTAAACTAGTTAAAACAGTTTCAAATGGTCGACCTATAGGCGCTGATCCTGTAATCGTTAGATCACGTCTACTTTCCAATGATACTTTATAGGCAAAGCTTGAGAGTGATGGATTTAATGTGACCATTAAAGATCGGAAATTTAAAGGAAATGAAGTCATTATAGAGATGTTAATTTATATTATGAATACAATTCATATTCACAACATTCCAGGTGCAATGATATTAATCGCCAGAGATCACAGGTCGAAATCAAAAAAATTGGCATATGGTTAGGGTTGGTAAAAGTTCTAATAAGTCCTAATTGGTCTTAAAGAATTTAAAGATAATTTTAATTTATATACTATTAA